TAATAATAAGTAAAAACTATCCATTTTAGAAAAGAATGATAAACCACTGGTATTTTAACTCTTTATACGAGTCTCGTGTACAAAGAGTTAAGATTGCTGCTGTATCGATATAAACGTATTATCGATTGACGTAATGAAGTGATAGTTAACTCACCGTGGGTTTCATTTGCTAACATCAAAAGCTCCTGTTTTCTTTTTTCCCATTGTTTTAACATAAATCGCGTACATTGATGTTTGGTAGCCGTTAACCTTTTATTATTTCCATTTTTCTCTAGATCGTCTAATGCTTTTAACTTTTCAAATATGGTCCATTGACGCCGTTTGCGTTTATTAGGTTGATCATTAGCTGTTCTATATTCAATTTCATCATCGGATGTTATTGATGAACTAGTAATTAAAGCAGTAGTATTGGTTGTGAATGATTGCTGTGGACTATTACTTAATCCATTGTCACCTGCTGATACTAACTGTTCAGTGTCTTCGTCTATTGGCTCTTTATCATTTTCTTCATCATCTGAATTGATATTTAAATATCTTTTTAAACAAAGTATGTCATTTTGATCATAATCAACTTGTGATGTAACTTCAACATCAGAATCATGTGATGAATCCGTATCATTTTTGTTATTATCAAATCCTTGGATTGCTTGCAAATGAATATTAGTAAAAGCATAGCTCATAATTTATAAAGTATCAGTGTTAGATTTATTGAATATATCTATCCTACTTTTATTTTTAGAATGAACAAGAAAAAGTTTTGTCAATCGAATGATCACATCTCTTCTTCTTTTCTGTTCTCTCTATCTTTATTCTTTTCTGTTTCTTCGAATAACAAGCAAGTATGGCAGTCACAGTCAATATGCATGCATATGAAGATAGATATAACGGACGCTACGCTATACACATAAAGCTACATAACTATTGTCTGTCCATATGTATTTTATTTCATAAATATATACGTCTATGTGCACTACTTTACATTTTCTCTTTATAAAAAAATAACGAAACAAAATAATCTAAACATCATGAGACAAAATAAAAGGCCATGGCCTTTTAATATGGATTTTACAGAATTGCCTCTGAGGTGGCCTTCTATTTAGGGTGCCCTTCTAATATAGGGTGGCCTTCTATTTTGGGGGGGGGTTTAATTTGAGTTGTTCATTTTTTCGGAAGGTCCTTTTAAAAGACACGTGTCATTCACGTTACATGTATATATACACTGTTATTTCTCTTGTTACGAATAGATTTTGCCTGATGATGAAGCGAGAAGCTTCAAAAGCTTGCAAAAAAAATGTTTAAAATTGTCAGTTTAATTGTCTCAATATTAAAATATGAATCAAACGATATACTTTTTCCAACTTAGAAAATCGAAAATGAATGATGAATTTATGAATATTCTACTGAAATTCAGATTGAAAAATTAAAGAAAATCTGTGACGAATTCATACAAGCTCTCCTAGGAAATCGTCCTTCTTTTTCCATAAATTATTTCCTGTTTATTAGTGTATATTTTTACCATCTTAAAACTTAATGACTTCCTGTGTGAAACATTATGTTCGTAACGATGGTATGTATAGAGAAACGAACCAGTTAGTAGAAAAATAACTTCATTGTATAGTTCACAAAAAGTTTTAAAGTAGATAGATATTCCATAATTCTTTCAGAAAAAATAAACAGCATCAAAATATTCTTAACATTTTTATGTAGTTATGCGTAAAAATTCTTATAATTCACTCAGATTCATAAGAATAATGCTTTCTAAAAACGAAACCTATTCTTGAAAATCTAAGAAGGTATTTGGATTTTGTCACTATCTGAAGCACTTAAGTGGTTCTCGAAAAAGGGTTTTCTAAACTCCGAAACCCGTTTATGTGTCTCATGCAGCGGCAAATTCAGAGAACGTTCAAAGAAGGCTTTTAAATTCGTATGACTGACTTTTTACTACATATCTTCAACTCTTAAGAAGTAGGGAATAAAGTTAGATCTATCTTTGTCTGTCAAATTCGGTGACGATTAAATGGTTAATACAGTAAAATATTTTAAGTCTGTGATTTCTACCGAGAGATAAATAGCTTAAAAGGGAATATGACTTCTGCCGATCTAATTTGTTACCTACGGAGAGCTAAAATGAAGAATCTTTTGTTTTGGGAAGAGTTTATTTTAATTTATCAAAAAAAGGTCTTTTGCTTTTAGGGAGCATCCACTGTATTGATAAAAATGGGTCTGTTTACTGTCGTTCACAGTTCAGTAGGTGAAAAGAAAAATATTAATCCACTGGCTAATCAAAACTATTAAGATTTTCACTTTCCCAAACTGTCTTTACAAATAAAAATAATACATAAAACAACTGTTGCATTTAATAATAACAACTATATACAGTAATACCAAACATTTACACATAGAAAGGAGCTCAGTTTCAGACTTTCTATGTGGAGAAATAGCCAGACCAAAATAGCTAAATTTGAAATGAAGAAAGAGATAAAAAAACTAAACATTTTCAGCAGGTATATTGAGAGAACAAGTACAGATCCTTCACGTAATCCTACAAAGATCTTGTTTAGTAACAACAGCAAGAATAGGTGCGAATACGTGAGCAATTCATGTATCATCAAGCAGAAATGTCTGTATATCCCAAGGACTGTCGCGGACACTCACGTTCTTGGGTCTCCACATGGACGAGTGAGTTACGGTGGACGAAAAAGTTTTCAAAAAAAGGATAAAACAGATTGCAAATTAGCTAAACTAAGTGAAGAGAGGGAGAGGAAGGAGGGATTAGCAAAGTGATCGGAAGTTTTTGAACGGTTTTCAGATCCTCTAAGGTTCATTTTTCGAAGTGTATTTAGAATTTTATTAGAGAAGTAAAAGTAAAATAGAATTTTCTCGGCAAGGAGAAGCATGTACGAGAAAAATTTGCAGAAACAGACAAGGGTATCCTCAGATTTCGGTTTCCGAATAGATTTTATAAATACAATAAAACGAAAGGGTTTCTCAAGAAGTTTGTGTGATATGAATCATCATCTTCCACCCTGTAAGAGTACGCATAGGTTAAAGATGAATGGCACTTAAACAGTTAATTAGAATAATACCCCGTGAGTTGTGTGATACTATCCTCAGCTTACCTTCCATTGGGTATAGTTTTTGATCAAATGCTGGTTTTTGGTCTTGTTTGTTTTTCAGAGTGTCTAAGTAACTAATTAGAATAATATCTCGTAAACCGTGCGATACTATTTTGAGTTTACCTTCCATTACTTTTAGTTTTTGATCAAATGACTCTTGTTGGTTTTTCAGAGCAGCATTCACTTTTCTTTCTAAGCATTGAAGTTCGGTGTGCTGTTTTATTTCTCGCCGACTATAGTAGCTTTTACATGTTGAACATTGAACAACCACTTCCTCACACTCTTGCTCATGCGTCTGGACGTCTTTCTTCAAAAAGTCTTTTTTGCAGCCGCTATATGGAACAACGCACTGTTGTTCATGTTTTTCCAATGCATCATACAGGAGTTTTTCCTCACATCCGACGCTTTTGTATTGACAATATATCTTCAGTTGCGATAGCAATTTCAGAATAAGTCGTGGACACGATTGTGTCTCAAACACTTCTCGACAACTCGGACATGATTTCTCGCGTTTAAGCCACGTTTCAATACATGAAGAACAAAACAGTAGCTCGCATGATTTACATGCGACAGGTTTCCATAAAATATTGTGACCAATGGGACATTCAAAAAGATCTTGAAATTGATTTTGGTCAACGAGACGATCCGTTGAAATGCATTCACCTTTGGTTATCGCCATTATTTTCTAACGAAAGCGAAAGGAATGCAGTAGAAATACCGTTCTTTAATCTGACGTATTCTGATTCAATAAACTCTCAAAAATTCAACTTAAACTACTCTTCTAAAACTGCTCTTAGTCCAATATAAGAATTTCGCGACTGAGTACTTGCTTTCTCCTGATGTAACCGAGTGGTAATTGAAACGAAAGTGGAAAAAAGTAAAGTGAAGGAAATTTCATTTACTTTTTGCAATACAGAACTTTCACCTTGTAAAAGTTATTATTATCTTTTATCTGTTATAAGTAACCAGAGAAGTAAAATGCAATAAAGAGAAAATATAAATTATTGCACAAAATACGATAATAACTTGCACGATTTGAATACGCAAATCTAACTGGTGAGTTAGAAATGAACACACATCTTGAAAACTGATGCGATAAATATGATATTAAGCTATTAACGAAAATGTTATAGTTTAAGCTTTAACGAAAATGACATAGTTTTGCAAAGAACAAAACATACAGTGAAAACAACATCTGTGTCTTCCTTCACAGTGACGTCATAGTGGAGAGACATAAAATCTTAAGCAAATATTTGTCATCATTGAAGAATGCAACATAATTATAGACACTTATGAACGTTTTTCTATAATGAAAATTGGGTCATACAAGTCCGAGCACGGTTTGACGGTAGTGGTATAAATGCTTATTGGATTAAAATGGATTTGAATTTAGTTGGTAAAAAAGAAGGATATAGTTGCCGAATTTTATTTTATGCCGGGTGTACATTTTTTTGATACAATGACATACGTACGATATTGAAAAGACGAATCTCGTTCTATGTACATGACAACATGAATCAATTGATCGTAATTTAATTATGTTACATTTAAATCCATATACAGCTGTATTTCCCGTTGGAAATAAAACTGAATTATTACTGTCGCCTGAGCATGGAACAATTGATGATGTTAAAGCTGTGTGGAATCCAAATCAGAGAGAAGTTTTGTTTATGATAACAAGAAGAACAGAAGAACTTGATAACATAAATTATATGATTGGAGTTAACTTTGATACATTGAAAATATTGGAAAAGAAAGTAATCACCAAAAAACAAGTACCATTGTTTGATATGTGGGAATATTTTTATTTCTCATGAGTATTTGTGTCTTTATTAAACTATATAGTTATCAGGATATGTGTCTGAGAATAATTCTTTGATGTTTTGAATAAATCATCATGTCATTTGGTTTTCCAACAATGGTTTGCCATCCATTGTTCAATTAGAAACTTTAATGGTCGAGTTTCCTTTTTTGTGATAGGGTAATGTGGGATAAAAAGAGACAGTGTGTGACTTTTTTGTCGTATTTTGCTATTTCTCAGCCAGTTTTGATCAGAAAAACTTGATATTGAAGATGGTGATAGATAGAACGTTTCCCTGATGCAAAATCTTTTGAAAATATCTAATAGTTTTTGAGCCAGATCCAAAATGCGAAGAGCTGTTTCGAAGGGTCTCTATTTCACCCCAAATGGGGTAAAAGACACTCTACTATTACGCTTGGGGGAAAAAAGGACAGTCCATTTAAATATAGGGAGTTTTTCTGTACAAGTTCTGCTTCATTAAGTCTACGAGATAATTAATTGAAAAATACCTCATTTTGTAGCCCGGATTCTCTTCTCTCGTTGTGTAAATTTGCAGTAGACACTATCTAGTATTTATGATAAAGTTGATTAGTCAAAGTTATATGTCATTACGAAGTTACACGTAGTTTGAGTTGAAAATTCTTCAAGATAGCGGAATTATTAGTTTTTCGAACTTTTCGTAAAAATTGAATATGTTAGCAACGCAACAACTTTAACACCTTGGGTTTTCGCGAAAATTCATGAAAATGTTTACTCAACGATTGATTACTTGAAACTTTTTTGTGTTGATGTGCAATGTTATTATTATTGTTGTTAACAATAATAATAACAATATGTTATTATTATGTTGTTAACAATAGTTGTTCGAATACTGTACAATAGAATTTGTCTATTCAAGGTAATTTTCACGGCGTTCGCATCCATTCGTAAATCAACTGCATTTGGCTGAAAAAGCGTTATAGACAGCCGGGAGATATTTTTTGCTCCTCAGAATACTTAGCTCTATCGACCTACATGATTCAATAAATTTTCTCATCAAAAACCAAAGACTTGGTTTTCTAGCCTTCAGATTTTTCAGAAACCCCGTTATCAACTTTTCTCATGAACCGGCGATATGCACCTCATCTGATAGAAAAATCTTCGGACTATTCAAACAGTATTAAGATTTGTTCCAGCTTTTACTGAAAAACAAAAACCAAAGGAGTTCTTGTGATTATGACACACTGCATAGCATAGATAACACCCAAACGCTTCTTTTACTTATCGTTAGTGACGGGTTCCATCTGTCTGGATATTCCCGTTCCGAAGCGAAACACAGATAACATTCAAACACTAATTTCTATAGCAAAAAATGCTGCAGTTCTCAATACAAATTCGGATACAATTCATGCAGCATTCATGATTGGTGAAAGTCTATTGAATACTCTACGATCAAACGTGATAGACTGCTAATTTCATTCATTGATGAAATATCTCTTTTTGTGATCAAGGGCTATGGAAAGATTTTCATGTCCTACTCAGACAAATAATGTGTAAAATCGAGAATATTTTGGAAATGCATCGATCGTTCCAATCGGTGACTTTTATAAGCTTCCACCTGCTTTTGGATCAGTATTGTATGTGATAAGCAATATTGTTGACTACTGGACAAATTTATTTGAATACTCAGAATCAATAGAACTTGAATTTTATGACTTATTAAATAGAATATGGACGAAAAAAAACAACTGAACCATTGACAAAAGAGAATGAACAGTTAATAATTAATTGTGTGGTACGGTTTCAACAAAAACTATATCAAGACGAATGTGTCCATCGATCCGCTTACTTTGTTAATTTATGAATTAGTGGACAAATCGTGTTCAACTCTCTAAATAAACTCAAAGAGCGAAAAAACAGATAGAATCTAAAAGGTATCGTTCATGGGAAGGATATTTTTAACTTGTACATAGACTATAATTGACAATATTAGTTTTAGCTAACTAAACAAATGATGCCCTTTCTGTTTACCATTTAATGCCTAATTATGTTAGGCTATATTTTACAAAAAATATTTTTTTTTACAGAAAATATCACCAAATTCTTTTTCAATTACGCCGTGATATTGTACCATGAAACAATGATCTTTTTAAAAACTAGATTAAATTTGAACAGCTATTGTTAACAATAATAGCATTGCTTCACATCAACACAAAAAATTTTCAAGTAATCGTTTACTGAAAAAAAGCGCAATTATTGAGACGATCATCGCCAAATCCATTTGTTCAAGACAGGTTAGTTCAATTTCATTTATATTTAATTTACTAAAGAGTAAGAATTATACATACGAGATTAACTTTTCGGGTTTTTGAGGAAAGGGTCTTAAATAATATGTTCATCATTCGTTATCTACACATGCTTCTTATTATAAACAGAATGTACATGTTAGCCATAGCTTGGAAAATACACGTTCGCGGAGAATTTGATGTTTTGTAAAATCAATTTTGCATTCGCTGAAAATTCATTCCGATATGTAGTTGATGATAAAAATGTGTATTGTTGTATATGATGTGCTTGTGAATTCTATGATTTTCTGACTAGTTCAGGTCACCATATAGGTTAAGTACGGATCGATTGCAAATTCTCTATATTCTGCTGCCTTTGGGACACTGTGAAATTTTATCAGATAGACAATTTGGATGGATGTGTACCGAGAAAATCGCCAGGCAATATAACATACATGGGATCTGAACTAATGAGCGAAAAAATAAACATTGGAAATCTATAATCAGTAAGTTGCATAACGAAAAAGTAAAAATTAATTCAATTCGCCGCGAATGCGAGTTTTTCATGATCTCGAGTTAAGTTAGCACTATATGAAGAACTGAGGGCTTTTTTCATTGATATATCAAAGTGGTATAATCTAGTTGAATTAGTTCATCTATTTCTTTGTTTTGAGCTAAAAAGAAAATCATAAAAAATGCGGTATAACAATAGTAGATTAATAGCAGATATTAATGTTTGTACAGTGAACCGCAAAAGTAGCCCTCCCCTCCTATAACTCAAGAACATAGGCAGATAGGTAGGGATTTCTAATTATCCATAATCATTATTCTCACCGAATGCTGATAACTCAGCAAGTTTAGGCCTCTTTTCCTGGATGGTTCGTGAGATATAGGCATTTCATTTCTTTTCGTAAAATGCTAACAACGCGCGATCTATTTTTTATAAAGTTCACCTACTGTTTTTTCCCCATAGATTTCTGTGATTATATTTTTACATAATTCTAATGCATACTGATCACAGAAGCTATAGTAGAATGGACGACCCTTATTTCCTCTAGTTCGTCCCCTATGTATGCTACATTAGCTTCTGCTCATTCGAAACGAATTTCCAAATCCATACAATATTTAACCTTCATACTTTGACTGAAGAGTCTATCTGTGAGCTACTGCACAGTATTTGGCGCAATTTTGGGATATAGTATACACAACTAATATAATTTATCATACTATGATAAAATAACTTATCATTTTATGAGCATCATCAGTTTAGGTCGTCATTTATGCGAGTCATTAATCTGTGATACTATAGCGTTATAATCATCATTTTGGGATGAATTTTGTACTACAAATTTATGCTGAAATCTCTTTAACGAGTAAGTGTCCGTTTCCCCAATAAGAGAGGATAATATACTAATAACTAAAAACTATACATTTAGCACATTTTCAATCAGAACAAAGGTAAAGATTGTCATCATTTGATTGAAGCTTACCAGGGAACCTTTGGAGGTAGTTAAACGCTTTTTGCTCTGAATCTAGTGGGTTATAGATTATCGACCATGTTGATTCCGAATATGACCATGGGGTTTGCCCTTAGTCCTTCGAAGACCTGGTTTTCCATAAAAACAGCTGTCCAGAACTCTAAAATATAACCCGAACCTTTCTTAATAAAGTATGATTGTAGCCCGCAAATTTCTGATTAAAATGAGACATCTCCCAGCTTTACATGACCTTTCTTTGCAAAGTTATAAAATTTACAAGAAAAGCTCTAAACTAATTTCTTCTTATTTCTGTAGCTTCGAGCTGACAATGAACGTTTAGGGCTTTTCTTGTAAATTCTATAACTTTGCAAAGAAAGGTCATGTAAAGCTGGGAGAGGTCTCATTTTAATCAGAAATTTGCGGGCTACAATCATACTTTATTAAGAAAGGTTCGGGTTATATTTTAGAGTTCTGGACAGCTGTTTTTATGGAAAACCAGGTCTTCGAAGGACTAAGGGCAAACCCCATGGTCATATTCGGAATCAACATGGTCGATAATCTATAACCCACTAGATTCAGAGCAAAAAGCGTTTAATCACTTCGAAAGGTTCCCTTGTTAACTACCAGCTAAGTTAAACAGTCACATAGAAAAGAGAAGAACAAATGGAAAGAAAGTACAGAATCCCATTTACACGAATGATAGAGTAGAATCCACAAACTTATAGCTTTAAGGCAAACGTATCTCCTTTTGGACTAAATTATTATTAAAGCCCTTGAGAATAATTAATTTCGTTTAAATAGGTTAAGACTCTTTTGCGTACATTTTACGAAATACTTTCCCATCCATTTCTTTTAGTGTCGACTGATAGGAATATTTTTAATTTCTTTATGTTGTTTTAGTTTTCTCACTATCATTACTTTTATCTTGTGTACCTGAGTTGTGTTTGTAGATGTGTGACTAACGAATAATAAGGATGATTATTTTTTGACTAATGAACAGCTTAAATAAATGAATGAATGGAAAACGTGAGTAAAGATAGAACAGATATACATTTGCTAGGCATTTTATTTATTGAGTATCCAAGCCATTAAGTATACCTTTTTATTGGGAAAACATAAACGATGGCTAAATTTCGTGAAAAGGGAATGATAAAATCAATAGTAAAGAGGCATAAAATGTAGGTATGAGACAGAGACAGTGTACTACAGTCAACGATGCTAATTCCGGATTGACGGAGTACCCATCAAATGAAAATAGCTGTTACAAAGTCTTTCTGGCACTGTATTTCTTTCGCAACCAAAATCTATCGATGAATCCAGAAGACTTACACCTAAAACAGCGTAAGAATCAATACGTACGTTCCACACAGATCTTTCTTACTATTCAAAACTTTGATGCACGATAGTCTTACATACTTTCGCAACATACGGTATAAAGAAGAAGTTCCTTGGATCGTTGTATGTTTGAAAAATTAAAAAAATATTTCTGAAACTAAATTCAATTTTCGCTCAGAAAGATATATAATCAGTTGAAAAGAAAAAATAAAGGTGGTTGGCTAATGTAAGTTATTGGGTTGGAAAATAAGTTCTGCAAGTTTTTTAAATAATAATAGCTCCGTCAATTTTCACTCTACAGACTTTGGATTCGTTTTAAAAGATGCGCTGCGAAATATTCCACAAAATCATACCTAAACTATAATTTCAGAACTTCAATTAAGAAAATTAAGCCAATTAGATGAAAGTCGAAAAAAATGTACACTTTCTAAATTCAAAAATGATTTCTTGTGTTAACGTTTTGAAAGTAAGATAAACTGAATTAGCCATTTTGTAGCCCTGACTTCACTCTATCTTTTAGCTACACTTCCGATTTTTCACATCAAAAGCCACAGCGAAATAATAGTTTTTCTGTCGGTTGTCATGCATTTTTTCATTAATTTTTTAAATTTTTGGGTATAGTAGTGCTTTCGTTAAAAGTCTCATAACTTCATCAGAATAAAAGCTTTTTCGGTCGGGTTTGCTTTGTTTTGATCAGAAATGACTGCTCTTCTCTGTCTAACTACAAAATCAAACTTTAATCATCTTTTCCGTTTCTTGATTGAGCACATTGTTGGAAACGGGGAGGTTGTCAACTTTGATATATTTTTTGTAACTTCGTTCTCGAGCACACCTCTGCTCTAAAAAAGGTTTTTTTACAGACCACGAGAAAGAGCACATTTGAAAGTACCAAACATAAACTGAGTTTTCGCTTTTGCTACACTTTTTAGCTGAAATAGTAGCAGAAGAAAAAGTTCAAGTCGAAAAAGATTCTTAGTTTAGAAAGTTTACATTTTTTTCGACTTTCATCTAATTGGCCTAATTTTCTTAATTGAAGTTCTGAAATTATAGTTTAGGTATGATTTTGTGGAATATTTCGCAGCGCATCTTTTAAAACGAATCTAAAGTCTGTAGAGTGGAAACTGACGGAGCTATTATTATTTAAAAAACTTGCAGAACTTATGTTCCAACCCAATCCTTTTCTGAATAGTATAACGAATATATAAATGTGAGAGTAACAGCAGCTGTTTTGAAATTCTTTTTTGAAAAATGAGTTTCAGAACAGTGTGCTGTTACTCTCACATTTATATTAGAGTTATAACCCTCAACAAGTTAAACATAACGAACATAGTACATATAACACTTGCTTTTTATTCTTGAAATTCAATCTTCATATATACTTCACCAAATATATTAAGTATTTTTTGTGACCTGTTAACAATGTCAATACAAGGACAGAGAAAGTACATGAAAAAGTAGTTGAATCTTTCTATTCTATAAAGTTTTAATGATAAGAAGTGATTAATTTGATTAGTACTATGCAAACTTACATTCAACAAATGAAATATATGTATGACTATCGTATAGTTAGTCTTATTTCTCTTAATCTTTACTTGTCTTCAATTTTAGTAACAATGATGAAACTAATGATGCGTATAAAATAATCAGTATCCTGTATGGTTTAGGTGATCAGAACATCACAGAACATTAAACTTAGAGAAATTAATCTATTACTCTTTTTCTTTTCGTTTAGTCGTTTTTCTTGTTGGTGTTGCTTTTTCCATCTCTCATGCAATTATTCCAGAAGAAGAACAACAAGGATTTAAACATTTTGCAGAGGTAATGAATATATCTTTTCTTCCATTCAGTCGAAATAAAAAACGGTGGATGAAGCCATTTTTTTTGTCTAAAATTATTGAGAGTCGATAGTAATCAAAGGTGTACAGAAGTCGTGTGCTAGATTTCGTAAGACTATTCTAAATCGTTTATTTTAGATTTATTTCACATTTTTATATTGGTTATCAATATTCTGGATGTTATTCTTTATGGTCGATATCGTTCGTCATAGTCGAAGAATAAATTTAAACACTAATAAATCAAAAAGAGGTTCTCACTTGAATATAAATGGTCCAGTTGGTCGTAGTGATGTATTAACAGCCATTGCAAAAACAACACCGCATCATGATTTAAAATTATTTGATGATCTTGAATTAGATGAGACACGCGACAAAATCCATTCTCTAAGTGAACAGCATGTTGATGACAATGACAATGGTAGTGATTTAGAAAAATCATTAGAGGATGTATCATCGCCAGTAAAACGAACTGTTAATCTTCAGCGTTCGAGAAACACCGACGATCGTCGATCAGCATTAGATACAGGTATATAGTAACTATATCCAGTTATAATTATATCTACAAACATATTTATTCTCAAGGTGGAATAAATAATCTTCGTGCATACATTAGACATCGGAAAGATAGTATTGTACAACATGTGATTGGCTACAATTACGATGACAAGTCAACAGCCGGCGGATTATATATTAGGGTGGGAACAGGAAGTTCGTAGTAATGATCAATATAGCTTTCTATAGAGTAAAGTGTCGAATTGGAACGCAGAATGAATTCGTCTAACTTCTGGCTTCAGTAATCTCAGTGAGTTCTGAACCGATTTTCACCAAAACGGGGGGCGGGGGGCTATAGGTAAGGATCTTAGTTATTTAATAATCTAAAAGCTACTAAAAAACTTTCAGAGAAAACAGATTCCAGGACCATACTACGGAGAGTGTGTTTTCGGATTCAATCATTCTCTGCGCTAAAATGAAACCGTGTAGTCAAATCAGTGTCTGACTGGAGCTTCTTCAGTCAAATACATCGGGTTTTTTCATTTGAATAAAGTCTGTGCCTTAGAAAATTTTATAAGACAAACTAAGAAATTTTTAATAGTCATGTCCACAAAAATGAGCTCTGTCGAATGCGACTGTTCGAAGTTCTGTACGATCGAATGACGAAGCTATAGTACTCACAAAACCTTAATGTATGAAAAAACGAGATGACTGCGTATTAGGCACTGAGCTTACTTGGAACCGTACAGCGAAATGTGTGCCTAATTGAAATCATCTCATTGAAATACACGGAGTTTTCAATGCTTGGGGAAACCTATTTTCCAGAATATATTAGAGAGTATTGTAGCAAATATTTTCGACAAACAGATGACTAAACTGTTCTGTATGTAATGAACCAATTTTGAGATTTATGCGACAAGGAATAGTAGACTTGACAAACCCTATGGCATTAGTCTAACATCCGATGAAATAATTCTGGAGAAAAAGAATTAGCAAAATTTAACAGATACAAAGCAAAAATAAAACGTGCTACGTCAAAATAAATTAGATGTTAATAGTACAATATGCCCCCAATAACAATAGTGACAGGTACTTATAATTTCTATACATCCAAACCAGAACTCATCTAACTGATACATCACCCTTCCTTTTTAGCTCTTTCATTAGTATCAATGTTGTCCGCACAAACCCGCTTAAGTGCCAATTTATTGCATTAGGCATTTTATGCCCCGACTGTCTTTTCCATTTAATGTATCATATTTTCACTCAACAGTTACATATGTATAACAGAAATGTTACCAATGGACCAGAGCTAGTTTGTGCGGGCTATATTGATACTGATGGAGGAGCTAAACAGCAAGAGTAATGTAACGGTCGACCGAGCTAATTCTTATGAACATGACTATATAAAATTTCTTAGTTTGTCTTACAAAGTTTTCTAAGGCACAGATTCTATTCAAATGAAAAATACCCGATGTATTTGACTGAAGAAGTTCCAATCAGACACTGATTTGACTGTACCTATTTGGCACAGAGAATGATTGAATCCAAAAACACGCTCTCCGTAGTATAGTTCTTTGAATCTGTTTTTTCTGAAAGTTTCTCAGTAATTTTTAGATTATTAAATAACTAAGATCCTTAATCTATAAGTCCGCCCGTTTTGGTGAAAATCAGTTCAGAACTCACTGAGATTACTGAAGCCAGAAGTTAGACGAATTCGTTTCTCGTTCCAATTCGACGCTTCGCTGTAGTAAAAATATGTTACTATGTATATCTTTATGAATCTCTTTCTAGTTTTTTGTTTTGGTACAGTTATTCATAGTGCTTTATCAATTCTCAGCAATTTAGAAATAATTGAAGGCACAAGATGGGCAACTGTCATTGATGATTTCTCTCGTTTATTGTTTTCAATCATACAATTCTTCTTTATATTCAAACATTCAAATGTAAGCGTTTAATATATACTATATTTGACGAGCTAACCAAATACTATTTAAACGGTTAGGCTTCAAAATAGTATTTCGAGAAGACAACTAATTTGATAAACTTTGTAGAGAAAATATTTTCTCATTTCAGTTAATTATTCGAGCTCATGAAAGTTTTGCACGAGTAGGGGTTATTCACGTTGTCGTCACAAATCTATGTGTGTGGTAAGCACAAGTTTTTTAAGATAATTAACTATAGGTACATATTGTTTTTTGTAAACAATGTGCAAAACAGCAAAGAAATGATAAGTAGCTGACGTTTTTACTAAAAAGTTTCAGACTTTTGACAGATTTTCTTAGTGGTTCTGTTCTACGTGGATGCATAAACAGACAGATATCTTGGTAATAAATTCTTAAAAGCACAAGAGATAGTATCTTATGGATGAGTGGCTATGTGAGTGGTCTTAGACATCGGTAATTTTTAAAGAGAGATGGATTTATGATGATATTTCCACAGAAAATATATATGGGTACTTCCGCACAGGACCGCCCAGTATTATATGAGCTAAAAGCCGGGAAGGTTTGACTATATGTGATCGATAGTCCTACAAAGGTATGTCAAGGTCTCCATGGAAAAATTATTTCGAACACGATTTTTCCTCGACGATAAGTTCTGAATTGAAGCGTTTTTAGGGGTACCAGAACAGGGAAATCCGATCTTACAGAATACTATCAAGCGTTCTCAGACTGCTAGCTGGATAGAGCATACAAAGTTGCATATTTCTATCCGCAAATGAGATTTTCGCCTAAACATTTCGAAAATATTTTTGACTGGAGGACCTTATCTGCATTAACAAATACCACTTATTTTATAGCGTGTTTGACGAATTCAAAATCTAGCAAAACATAACTTTATTTATAATCAACTGAAAACGACTTTCAAGCTTGCTCGCATGACGCAAGAATGAAGTCTCTAGCACTTTTTACTTCTTCATGGTCAGCGTAGCCATGAGACCTATTTTGGCCCTTCCTGACCTTCTCCCTCGAAAGCTACACGTCAGTTCTTCGAGATTTTGTTGCCCTAGAGACTACTCGACTAGTGCTACAAAAGGCGCAAGGTATTGACTTTGATCAGGTGGTTTTTCCTGTGGTGGTTTTCTGGAAATCCTATCCCAATCCTAAGTTGCTCATAAATATTGCATTGAAAGTAATCTAAAATTCGCATTCAGCATGTCAGTTTATTGGTAATTTAGTATTTATTCTCGTTCCGAAAATTGGTTAGATGATGGGATTTTTAAGGAATTTCTACGAAACCGCCACAAGAAAACCGCGTAGCACTAGTCGATTAGTGTGTGGGGCAACAAGGTCTCAAAGAACTTACGTGTAGCTTTCGAGGGAGGCCCCCATTCTTGCGTCATGCGAGCAAGCTTGAAAGTCGTTTTCAGTTGATTATAAATAAAGTTATGTTTTGCTAGATTTTGAATTCGTCAAACACGCTATAAAATAAGTGGTATTTGTTAATGCAGATAAGGTCCTCCAGTCAAAAATATTTTCGAAATGTTTAGGCGAAAATCTCATTTGCGGATAGAAATATGCAACTTTGTATGCTCTATCCAGCTAGCAGTCTGAGAACGCTTGATAGTATTCTGTAAGATCGGATTTCCCTGTTCTGGTACCCCTAAAAACGCTTCAATTCAGAACTTATCGTCGAGGAAAAATCGTGTTCGAAATAATTTTTCCATGGAGACCTTGACATACCTTTGTAGGACTATCGATCACATATAGTCAAACCTTCCCGGCTTTTAGCTCATATAATACTGGGCGGTCCTGCGCGGAAGTATCCAATTTATACGATACTTTAATTTCTTAAGATTAGGTAGGTATTTCAAAAATGGATTTATTACTAAGTTTAATCCTTGTTGAGCGAGGAAACGTATGTAATTCATTTTCATATATACATAGACTCACAACCCATGTACTAAAAATCACACAAAAATTGTCAATTAATCAATCGTGAGCTTTTGGGTAAGAGATTCAACCCATCTGAGGAAATACATGTTTTTTTTCGCTGTTTTTATTATGTAATGACATCTCCCAGGTCGTTCAAAACGACCAGTTAACGGCATGTTAACGTACCGTTAAGTCAACGTTAACGGGCCGTAAACGTACCGTTTTTACACCGTTTACGGGCCGTTTTTAAAGAGACAAATTGCTTCGAACTGCGGCCTAATGACGTTTTTTGCTCAAGTGCACACCCAGAGAAAGGCATGCCTAATCGATCTCTTGCTTTGTAGAAGGCTTTTAGCTCATTACGCTTGATTCCACCATGTTTTACTCGGACTTTTCTTCGAGAACATGGTAAAATCAATTTTTAATGTTTTCGTCAGCCACATGATGCTTCCAAGCCATAAGCTCTATCTGAAAAGGAAAAGTCAATATTAATACAAAGTCAGAAAAAGTACACAGCAATTTCGACCCGCTATTCTTCTACTGTATATAAACATCTCCTAGTCCGTAGTTATACTGTGGAACTAAAGCTTTGGAGTTTACTTTTCAGAAACATTTGCTCAGGTAAATTAAGTGCTAATTCGTTAACTCTAGCAAATGAACTTCTGTGGACCTGAAATTTACAACATAAATAGCCCACAATGCCAGCTAAACAGCACCAAAATTTCAAATTGCTGTGACGTGTACTTCCCAAATGACCAGTTTACCTTTTTATCCGTTAAAAAATAGCTTTTCTGAGTTAACATTTCCTCGTTTTGTGTCTTTTAGATGACTTGTTAGCCTTATTTTTCTTAGACCTTATGTTCAATGGCTCTCACATTGTACTCACGAAGATACGACATATAATTTAGGAAAAACCACTGTTGGTACGAAGTTTCCAGACGTTATTCAGTCGGTTAGTTTTTCTGTTTTCTTCAGACACTGTATCGAAAATGATTAATCCACACAACGTCTCCCATCTCATTTCCAATTATATTTCGTGGGAAGTACACGTCACAGTAATTTGAAATTTTGGTGCTGTTTAGCTGGCATTGTGGGCTATTTATGCTGTAAATTTCAGGTCCGCAGAAGTTCATTTGCTAGAGTTATGAATTTTTAATTGACTCGCGATTTTGGCTGGGAATGATAGAAAAATCCCTATAACTTTTGAAGGAAGCCAAAGGGGTCGCTAATATTTTAGGCTTTTTACTACCCTACTACCTTCTATCCAATGATGTGCGAACGAACCGAATCGAAGCGTATCACTTAAAAAAGTTCCCGTTAGCTGTTTCTATACGTCACATTCAAAAAAGAGAACGTGGATAGAAACATGAAAGAATATATAATAGGATATGAATATTATCACATATTATGCGAGTTTAAATGTTTAAGTGCACCGTTTAAGTGCCGTTTTCATAACGTAGCTTTCGGGGCTGTTTTCACGCCGTAAATTAACGGTGTAAAAACGATACATTAACGGTGACCGTAAACAGCGTGTTTTTACACCGTTTTATGCCGTTAATGGACCGTTGTGTTTGGCCTGGGCTATGTCACCCAACAACGGTCTTATGAACTGTATCAGCATAAGTCGGCGTCTTTCAGACAAGTCGGTGTTGAACATTGCGCAGATACCAACTGTACATTGAGCTTCTCCGTTCACAGCTGAAATGAAACGATGATCTAAAAAGAAGAACATTTCTCGTTGAAATCGTCTTTCTTATATACTTATTCTACTGCAAAATAAAACGGAACAACAAAAACCATTTAATCGCTTAAAGCCAACAGTTAATCGTAATTAACATGCGATGTTTCCAAGAACTGCGGTTAACTGACGATTTTTCCATGGTTCGCCATTAATTGTCGAAAATGCTGCGATTTTGATTTCCTGCGAACATGCTTTATCTCGAAATAGTCTAAATATTTTGGTAAATCACTGATTGAACTTTCGCAGCAGCTTTGTTTGGTACATTCTTGCATGTTACCTTACATAGAAATATTATTGTGTTCATTTATCCCTTTACGAGAAAACATATCGAACTGTCCGACTCCGTTTCCCTTCATTCATGTGCCGATCGATAGCATATAGCGAGATAGTGAAAAGCCTAAAAGGGTTTGTGCCCATGGTGCTTTGTTGCCGAGATACTGGATTTTTAGTCAGTTTTTGCCTGTAGAGCCTGGATTTCGAGCAAAATTCGACTTTTGAATTTTGATTTCAAACTTACCACATTTGTAGCCCATAACCATAGTAGCACGACGGGAAAATATTTGATGCTAACGAATTTTCCTGCCTTGAGATATTGAGACTC